TGTGGACACTATCAGAGTATGACTAACATCATAATCCACTCCAGTGTGGACCCTTTGTCACTGAAATACTTGGTGATGTTGTTTCATTGCTACATTCCCATGCCCTGTGCCTACAGCACGGCTGCATCTCTCTGAACAAGTATGTAACTATTCACGTGCTCTGTGTGGTTACAGCCACTGAAGCAGAAAAGACCTCTGCTCTCCTGACATTCTGGGGCAAATCAAACCCTTCTAGGAGCTTAAGTAAAAACCCCACGTGATGTGGAAAGATTTTGTGTGCGCGCAGCCTAATTAATGCAGCGGGGTGATAAACATTCTATATATAGAACGTCTCAAGACAGACAGTCAAGTCACATTCTCTCTTTGACCTTTTCAAATAATGCCACCAGCAAGCAGCCCAGACTACCTCTTTTCGCTGAAAGATAATACGTCTCCAGAACAACACGAGTTTTGTGTGTGCCGGGCCTGGCTGTTGGTTTGGGATTTATTGGCAATGTCGCATGATCAAAGGGGGAAATCGTGAGGCTCTGGAAACCAAAGCCTCCTCCAGCTTGTAGGGAGGAACTTGAAGGTCAACTGGGCAGATTCAAGTGTGTCAGTCTGAGGCTTCCTGAGATGAGGTAGGAGCAGCTCCAGTCAGAGAGAAAACTTGGAAACATAATAATGTTTTTCATTACTGTGGCGCTTTCCATCTGAGGATCTCAGAGCACGTCACACAGGTTAATGTGCTAACCCCCCACATCATCCCGTTGAGGCAGTTAATATTTATCCCTCTTTTAGTGATGATGAGATTGGGAGGAGAAGAGAGGTCAAATGCCCAATATTTTCTAAAGAAAGGTGAATTCTCATTGACTGATATCATCATTAAAACATGTTGATTTACAACTAAATAGTGCCTTTACTCTAGATTTGCTACATCTTTTTGCTATCTAGGAGAGTACACTATAACAATATATATTTATTTAAGCAATTTATATTATATTATGTATTATATTATATTATATTTTCAGACTCATATTCATTGTACATTTTTATGTCAGAATATGGTTTATGACATATTGCTTATTTACTAGATAATTAACTTTTTGCTCATGATTTATGTCAAGCTGAATTAGGATGGTAGAATTTAATTCAACACACAAACCAGCATATTATTTTTTATTTAAATGTTTTAAGAGATTATGTTTGCAGTGCTGTGGTAGCTGTGTCAGTCCCAGGATATTAGAGAGACAAGGTGGGTGAGGTAATATCTTTTATAGGACCACTTTCTGTTGGTGAGAAAGACAAGCTTTTGAGCTTACACAGAACTCTTCTTCTACATAAACTCAAAATCTTATCTCTTTCACCACAGAAGTTCGTTCAATAAAAGATATTACCTCACTCACCTTGTGTTTTAAGAGATTATGATAAGTTTAGGCCTTAACATATTTTGTATTAAATTCAGATTTAAGCCTTAACATATCTTGTATTAAATTCAGATTTCATTATAAACAGAAAAGAAACATTTAAGAAGAAAAACTTCTTGTAATTTAAATAACAAAATCAATAAAATCCAATTTAAATAAAAAAAAATCCAAACATTTGGATTTTTTTTTAAAATCATCAATTTTTATCCACCCTGGTCAATGGCAGGTCAATGGCAGTTTCTCCACTGACTGCAATGGCCTTTGGATTAGGCCCTATGGGTAAATCTTCACTGCAATAAAAGATCCATGGCGCCGCGTCTCAGAGCTTGGTCAATTGACTCGGGCTCATGGGGTTTGGGCTGTGATGCTAAAAACAGCAGTGTAGACATCCCAGCTCTGAGACCCTCCCCCTTTGCCAAGTTTCAGAGCCCAGAATATCTGCATTGCTATTTTCACTCCACAGCCTGAGCTCTGTTCCACAGCCTGAACCCTGACTCAGCACCACAAGTCTTTCTTTGTGGTGTAGATGCACCCTAAGTGACTTACCCCAAGACCACATAAGTACCCTATGGTACAAACAGAACCCACACCTCCCTACTCCCAGTACTGGCTTTAGTCACAAGAGTACTGATGACAGTGGGACTTACCCCACACTGGCTGTTTCGGACCAGGCAACAGATCAGACTTTGCTTACTAACTAGTGGATTTCCCCACCGTAAAATATGGATAATACCACTTTATGAGCTCTTCTGTACAGCACCTAGCACAGTGAAGCCCTGACCTCGGAAGGGACCACTAGGTGCTGCTGTAGTATAAAAACAACAACCTGCATACTTTAATTACAGCCCTATGACTGCTTGGGTCAGCCTTGCTTTCAGAAGGGATCAACATCAGCTTAATCTGCACAGGTTTAGGGCCTACTAATTCAAACAGTTCTCCCACAGCTGTCCCATCATGCACTGGTGGAGGTTACAGATGTCCCAGAACCCATTGCTTCAGAGAGCTGGGCTGGGTCCTGTGGGATAGTTCCTCAGAGGGCGTTGTGCCCAAAATGGTTTACGACAGTGCTAGGTGGAGGTGGGGCTAAAAGACCACAGCTCAGAACGTGAGTTGGCCGTGCTACTGTGGGCACACCAAACCGTCTGTTCTTTCTCCGGTACTATGCTCTCAGGTCTGCTAGGAATGGCCCAGTTCTCTAGAGCTGATGGCCTTAAGACATGGCCGTAAGCGGCTCAGAGCAGGGTTAGACAACACTTTCATAAAAACACCAGAGACCTGTTTATGCAACAGCATCCATTGCTGCTACCACTGGGTGTAACGTAATGCCAGGGGCCTCTCAGGCTCAGGCTGCTCAAACATTTTCCATCAAAACTTTTTTTCTGTGGAAATTTGGGTGGAAATTTTCATGGGAAGTGTCAAAATTTGTGGGTGGGTTTTTTGTTTGTATTGCAGGGTTTTTCCCCCCCAGAAAACTGAACATTTTTGGTCACCAATGTTTTAGTTTTAGGATGAAAGTTTTTCAGACATTGGTCAAAAATTTTCACTTTTCACTTTTTCAATATTTCCAAAATTTCCAATGGACACAACTCCTCTCCACTCCATGCTTTAGTCCATGTGTCTGGTGGGACAAGCATTAGGACAAATATTTTGAACAGTGACTAATGATGTGGGGGGCCCCGATTTTCAGAAAGCACTCAGCACCTGCTCTGTGAAAAACCAGGCCCCAGGTTGGCGACCCCAAAATGGAGGCACTCAAAAACCACTGGTGTTCTCTGAAAATCCAGGCAGTGATGTGGATAGCAAGAGAGAGGAAGAGGGAATTCCCTTTACCAAACACCTTTACAAAACCACCATATCTTCTCCCTACCAAATGCAGGACCAGGACTCCATTGTGCCAGGTTCTGTACAAACAGAACAAAAAGACAATCCCCACCCTTAAGAGCTCAGAGAAGATGCAGGCCTTTTCGGGCATGCCAACTTTCAAATCCTCATGGTCACCACTGGGGACTTAACCCGTGTGGTATGAAATGAGCAAAGACCCACCAAGAAGACAGGTTTGTATTTTTAAAAACCCCTAACTATAGGGCCTATAGGCCTAATTGAAATAGACACTATACAGTGCTGGCAATTTTTGTGATTTTATCTGGATCCTATTGACTTTTGGTATTTTTCTTAAAGCTCCAGCCTCTGGAGTCAAGTGACTACCTAAGAATCTCAGCTTTCATTAAAAAAAAAAGTCAGTTTGTAGCAACCATAGTTGCAGAGAAGAGATTGAAAGTGTGAAACAAGTTCACCCTAAAGTTTCACAAGCCAGAAGGTAAAGAAAAAGAACCCAACATTTACTCTTTCAACAACAACAAAAACACCGTGTGATTTTTAAAGCAATTCTCATGATTTTTTTGTGCCTTCAATCATGGGTTTTAAATGTGTGGGGATGGCAATACTGAAGAAAACACATCTCAGGTCTTCTATTTCTTAGGCTTTTTTGATGGCTGAACTGCCTAGATTTTGAGTTTCCTCAGTCAATTCACATTAATCGTCTTGTCTTAACGGAATAAATTAATTATTCCAAAACTGTTCATAAAACTATGTTGTAGCAAAAGAGCACTTTTGAAAATCCTTCCTCAGTCTGGAAAAAATAAGAACCTCACCACCCTGTTTCTTTGAACCTTCCCCCAAAACTAGAACTGATCCCAATCCCAAACCGAGCCTTCTTGGTCGTGTGTGTGTGTGAGTGTCTGTGTGTGCATGTGTGTGTGTTTTGAGATGGAATGGAAAAAGTCCCTGTAATATATCGTTGAAGTAGTTTTCATTTTCACTGAGCACCTATGTACTTCTGCCTTCTGGCCGGAAGCAGAAGTGAAAGCTCCAATTCTGAGGGAAGCTGTTCTCGTGTTTCTGGCTAGACTGGAAACAGGAGATGACAAATCCCCTCAAAAGCCCGCATTTGAGATTTCCAGACTGATTTTGCAGACTTGAGAATAAAGCTGGTTGGGAATTTTCTGTCAAAATGGTGCTTTTTCCCTTCTGGAAAATGCAATTTCTGCAAAATCTTTCCAAGGGAAAACACTCAGACTCCCAAGGCAGTCAAATTACAGCTCCCATGAGGCTCCACAGGAGCTCTTGGGGACACCAATTAAAGTTGAACCAGCCTGAAACAAAACATTTCAACATTTCTGAATGGATATTTTTAGCCATGTTCTGGTCTGGGAAAAGTTTTGACATTTCGACTTTTCATCCAAAAACATATAGCAAAATATCGGAATTTCCCATGGGGATGGAAATTCCGATTTTCAACCAGCCCAGCTTAAGAGATTTTAATAAACTTTAGCTTAAGCATTTAAATATCTGGCTCCTTGTCTGGGCAGACCCTTAGTTCCATACCTTGAGGTTCTTTTGTTAATAGCAATGAGGGTAGGAAGAATTTGATGCTTATTTTTATGGGTTTCTATGGATAGTCCTGCATTTTTACATTATTTTTATTGGCTAAAATTTTTGCACAAACGGGAAATAAAAATAACATAACCCCCAGTTTCTGAATAATTGTTACTTAATCAATATGTAATGGTGGTAGGTCCAGAGCTCATAGGACATAGAACTCCTGGGCCATCCACTCCAGTCCTCTGCTTTCGCAGGCAACCTTGTCATAGAACAGTTTCTGATATAATAGCCCCATAATCCTTAATATTAATTGTAACATTTTCCCTTTAAATTGACTAAAAACATCCTGGGACAGTAAACTATTAACACTGATGAGACCCTCCCCAACCTAAATTGGGGCCCCAATGTGCTAGGCACTGTACGTTGTGAGCTTTCTAGGCCAGGAACTTTTTCTTGCTATGTTTGTACAGGGCTGCTAGGCGCTACCACAGGATGAATATTAAATAATGAGAATAAGACACAGTCCTCTGCATGAAGAGTTTACAATCTACATAGACAGGACAGGCAAAGGATGGCATAAAAGAAGAATTATTAGCCCATTTTTCAGATGAGGAACTGAGGCACAGAGACATGAAATGGCTGTTTGGGGTTACCCAGAAAGTCTGGAGTAGAGCCAGGAAATGAACACAGCTCTTTCTGAGTCTCAGGCTTTGCTCATCCACAAAACATGTGCCAGTTTAATTCTATCAATGCAACACCTTTGTGTGGACCCTCTAACATTGGCTGAAGAACGCCTAATGGTGATTTAGTTTATTCCTTATTAAATGTAAGCACTCAATATACAGCACACTTCAACCAATTTCAGAAGGGCTGGCATCAATTTAACTCAGCTGATTTAGTGAAATTAGTGTGTGTCTGTGTGTGTGTGTGTGTGTAACTCACTACTGAATGTATGTTACATCTCCTACTCACTGCTCTGTCCACAGAGGATATGAGTCTATTGTAGCCAACATTAATGCAGATTAGCTCTTTAGCTCAAGTTGTACCAGCTCCTAATTTGAGTTTTGGAGGTTCCTGGTTCAATCCCCTGTGTGTAGGCCTTGCTCCACTTGGCCAATTAACAGAGAACATTTTTTCCCTTATGGTTGTTGATCAGAGAGAGAAATTGATGACTACCAATATTTACATCAAATCCTTCTAACAACTTGTCTACGTTCACACCCCTGAGCCACGCAGCTAAGCCGGCCTAAGTTTTAGATGTAGGCCAGGCCTAGATGTACTAATAAGGAGCTAACAGTGCATCTGCATGAAAACTGTAAAAAAAACCCCACACAAATGAATTGATGATATTAGAATTGGTTCACCCAGTCACAACACATTGTCTTGCAGGAACCCCAGAGGAGGAGAAGGAAACAGTAAAGTGATTAAATGTAAAAATCTTACCTTGCTCTGATGGTTGGTTTAGAGGCGAGGTACTAACATGTTGTCTGAACTTTGGGAGAAACAAAAAATGTCCATTTGTTACTTTGCTGGATTAGGGGAAGGACCTGCTTTGTGGCACAAAAGTCACTCAAGGCCTGATCCTAAACTCATTGAATTCAATGGGAGTTTTTCTATTGCTTTAAATGTGCTTAGGAACAGGCTCTTTATGTATTTTCATGGTGTTAGCATATTTTACTATGATGCATTCAGAGCTTGCTTGCGCATGTCCTTAAATACCTACTGGTCTCCTCTCAATTGATTTGGATGCTCATAGTGGAGTTAACTAGATTTCAAACGCTGCCATACTGTGTAATGCAGTTCATTGTTGCAAGATCTCTGTTAAATGATGTATGATGCAATCAATGAACCCCCTGAACAAATTTACAAAGCAGTATTACTTCAGGCAGAAGACCAGGAAACTGCCATAATTGTCTCGAGGCTCGTAGAATATTCCTTGCTCATGAATATCAGGGTTAATTATTTACAGCTAAATACACAGATTTAACTTTAGATGCCTAAATTTAATCCCCAAGATTTAGGGGTTTAATCCTTTGGCACCTCAATTTTCCATGTGGTAAAATTATGTCATTTAGAATCTCTCCAGGTTTTCTCAGCCAGACAACAGAAAACAGCAAAGCCTGGGTGGTTATTCACCTAGCTTGCTGTATTCTTCCCAGATCCAGTCCATTCTCCACCTCGATACCATGCACAGTGTCAGCAAATGACTGTGCCAGACATCCATCTGGTCTCAACCCCTCTCATGTCTACAGCAGTGGTCTCCAACCTTTTTACGCCCCAGATCGCGTTTTGAATTTAAGGGGAACCAGGATCTACCCCGCCCCTTCCCTGAGGCCCCGCCCTGCTCACTCCATCCCCTCCTCTCTCCGTCGCTCGCTCTCCGACACCCTCACTCACGTTCACCGGGCTGGGGTAGGAGGTTGGGGTTCGGGAGGGAGTGAGGGCTCTGGGCTGGGGCCGAGGGGTTCACAGTGTGGGAGGGGGCTCCGGGCTGAGCCTGGGGCAGGGGGTTGGGGTGCAGGAGGGGGTGCAGGGTGCTGGCTCTGGGAGAGGGGTCAGGGCAGCGCAGCGAGGCTAAGGCAGGCTCCCTGCCTGCCCCGACCCCACACTGCTCCCGGAAGGGGGCAGCATGGCCCTGCGGCCCCTGAGGGAGGAGCAGGGGGCACATGGCTCCGCGTGCTGCTCCTCTCTGCAGGCACCGCCCCCGCAGCTCCCATCGGCCACAGATCCCTGTTCCCGGCCAATGGGAGCTTCGGAGGAAGACCCGCTGCACCGCCGGAGATCGCGATCGACTGGGAGATTCTCTAGGATCAACCAGTCAATCTCGACTGACCGAGTAATGGCCACTGGTCTACAGAATCTATCCAGGTAGATGCTTCCAGGGCCTCTGAGCACTCAGAGTCCTGAAGACGTTTTATCCTCACACCACCCCTGTGAGGGAGGGGAGCATTAACCCCATTTTACAGATAGGGATCTGAGACACAGAGTAGAGGCAGCAACTTATCAAACCTAAGGAAGTCTGAGGCTCAGCCAGAAATAGCACCAAAGTCCCCCGAGGCCCAGTGCAGCCCTCTAGCCACTGGACCATCCTCCCTCACCTTTACAGAAAAGGTGGCCTGAGTTGAAGGCCACGTCTACACTACCCGCCGGATCGGCGGGTAGTAATCGATCTATCGGGGATCCATTTATCATGTCTCAGCTAGACATGATAAATCGATCCCTGAATCGACACCCGTACTCCACCTCGGCAGGAGGTGTAAGCGGAGTCGACGGGGAAGCCGCGGCGGTCAACTTGCCGCCGTGAGGACGGCCAGGTAAGTCGAACTAAGATACTTCGACTTCAGCTACGTGAATAGCGTAGCTGAAGTTGCGTATCTTAGATCGATCCCCCCCCCCCCGTAGTGTAGACCAGCCCAAAGGGAACTAAAGGGCTTGAGTTACCGCTGGCATACACAAGTGCTGCCCTACTGATTTCATAACTACCTGTGCCGCCGCGGCTACGCTACCACAGGACACAGAAAGGAAGTCACAAGCTGCTTACTTACCGGGGGCGGGGGTGGAGGAGGTTTCTTCCTGGAGAATATCTGAGGTTTTTGCCTATTTGCAGCCTCACACTGCTTTTGTGGCGTGGACTGGTGGCGTTTGCTCCCATACAGTCCCATCCTGTGAGAAAGAACACAAATGAATATGTGATGGGGCGACGCACGGAGTCAGGTGCTATTCAGTACAAGTAAGGGTGGTGTAAGATCCCAATCTAAGGTAAGGACAAATGGTAGGAGATGGGAACACAGAGAGGAGTGAGAGGTACTTAAAAGCCCCCCATTATTGTAATACCTGAGTGCCTCACAACAGGCCTGCAGGATTCAGAAGCACTGTTCTCTGCATCTGACAGATGAGTGACTTGTCTAAGGTCACACAGGAAGTCTGTGGCAGAGCAGGGAACTGGGCGTGCATCTCTGAGGCTAACACCCTAACCCCTGGATCATCCTGGCTTTCCAATGCCCCAAGCCTATACCGGCACTCTGGGTCTGAGTGTTTGGAAGGTAGCAGAGGTTTTGAATAGAGATGGTTGAAATGTTTGTGTCAAAACACCTTTGTCAAAATATGGCTTTCTGACCACAACCTACTTCTTTGCTTTGGTCGAAATGTTCTGCTTTGTCGATGACGGGGGGAAAGAAATCAGGTTTAGGAAACCCAAATGTTTCTACTGAGAAGTAAATTGTTTCACTTTTCAGATACCGCAAAGATTTGTCAGTGACAGGTTTTTAAACACGTCCCCTACCCTATATATATATTGGGGGGGTGGGTGGGGGAGGGAAAGCCGGCAAAAATTGTCATTTTTCGACTGGCTCTAATTTTTTAGTTTAATGCAAAATCATCTCTCGCCCTACATGCCTAGGCAGGAGAATAAGGGAGCGTAGATGCCTTTACAACCCAGCATGGGCTATGCACCCTGACAGGGGTGGGAGAATAGCTTTCATAGGACTGCTGCTCCCCCTCCCATAGGGGTGGGCGGGCAGGAGTGGGAAACGGGGGCTGCCCTGACTTTGCTTGTTCCCCTCTTGCTGAGCCTGCATGGAAGAGGAAGTATTCTGCTCCTTGTATAAATCAGTAGCAGACTGAATCCTTACCCTGGATCCAGGGGGACAAGCCAGGAAATGAACTCTGACTCAGAGTCTGCTTCAGTGGCAGGGCAGCTACTGCTGCCTGTAACTCAGGGCAGCTTGTCAAGTCCCACACGCTCAACAGGACTACTCAGCGTGACAGCATCAGGCTCCTAGGTTGTAAGATCTTTCGCTCAGGGAATCCATCTCTATTTCCATTGCGGAGCATTATGCCCACATATGGCGCTGATGTGATGACCGACCTCTTGGCTGACACACCGGGGACTGACCAGCTAATAGCGTGAGATGGCCCTTGAGATAAAGCTTCCTAGCTGGAAGCTATAACTACTCATAGCCTCTGTGGATTGGCACAGAGGGGGACCTGGACCGCACACTCCCCAGTGGGTTACACTAGGCAGGTTAAACATCTGTAAATTATAAGCCGATTTTGATTTCCCCATTGGCAACTGCTACTCAGCTCTTCAATGGAAACAACAGGAAGAGGGTAGAAAAGACAAGTCATCTGATTAACAAAAAGATGAAAGCTTCTCTGTGTGAAATTGGAAAAGGAGCTCAATAACCTATGGAAATCATAGAATCATAGAATCTCAGGGTTGGAAGGGACCTCAGGAGGTGATCTAGGCCAACCCCCTGCTCAAAGCAGGACCAATTCCCAACTAAATCATCCCAGCCAGGGCTTTGTCAAGCCTGACCTTAAAAACCTCTAAGGATGGAGATTCCACCACCTCCCTAGGTAACCCATTCCAGTGCTTCACCACCCTCCTAGTGAAATAGAGTTTCCTAATATCCAGCCTAAACCTCCCCCACTGCAACTTGAGACCATTGCTTCTTGTTCTGTCATCTGCCACCACTGAGAACAGCTGAGCTCCATCCTCTTTGGAACCCCCTTCAGGTAGTTGAAGGATGCTATCGAATCCCCCTTCAGTCTTCTCTTCTGCAGACTAAATAACCTCAGTTCCCTCAGCCTCTCCTTGTAAGTCATGTGTTCCAGCCCCCTAATCATTTTTGTTGCCCTCCGCTGGACTCTTTCCAATTTTTCCACATCCTTCTTGTAGTGTGGGGCCCAAAACTGGACACAGTACTCCAGGGTGCACAGACAGAGTGCAGTGTTTCTAGTTACATGATAGTCGTTAACTTGTACTTCTGGGGTCAGATGCTGAGACACTTGAGGAGTAAGTTATGCTCTCCCTGAGTAAGGATATCAGAAGCTGACCTATGCAGTCCTTTTTATACACATGGTTCCCAAAGGGCTCCACCAGTTTAGGACAGATTCTGATACCCTTACTCCAACTGAGTAGGACATTATCCATGAATCGCCCCAGTATTGCCAACTTCCAAAGTTCAAATGGCATGTGCCAGACCCTGAAAAATCACTAGACCGACTCAAACATCATGATGAAAACAATCAAAAAGCCATCGCCTGTGGTTTTGGTCTCTCTTTGAGCTCCCCTCACCACTCAGCATCTGCGGGACATACCATGCTGCCCACTCTCCTGAAATGCAGAGAGGACGATGATTTGGGCCCTGCTCCAGGAGCTCTGGTGGCAGGACCCAGCTGAGAGCAAATCACACAGATTTACCTAACATGCTGACTGCCGCGCTACCAGCTTCCCCTCACCTCCAAAAGTCTAATGACCTCTGTGCCCACCCAACCCCACATCTGCCCATCCCAGCAGTAATTACGCACCCCCAGCCCCACATCAATACTGCCCACCGCTGCCCCTTGCTCCTCAGCACATCCCTGCTTCAGGGGTTCTTCACCCCAGTCTCCCAGGCCTGGGGGAGCTGCTGCACCAAATCCCCCTTCCCCCCGTTCTCAGGTCTGGTGTTGAAGGGATGGGGGGAGAGGAGCAGAGAGCAGACTGACCCATTCATCATAGGAGGAAAGGGGGGAGCAGAGCCACCCTGAGCTGCTGGGCTCATTTGGCTTCCCCTCCAGCTCTGTCCCATGGGAATGGTGCCGGATAATCCCCCTCCCCCACCTAAAAGCCCATTAGACTCCCACGGGGAGTGAGGAGAGTTCTGCCCACCTCCTGCTGCATCCGTGATTGGCTGCTTTCCCCCAGGAGGCGGGGAAGCCGAAGGCAGCCAATCAGAGGTGAAATGCCCGAGAGGGTGGGAGCTTCTCCCATCACTCCCAGAGAAAGGCACCATTGGCGTTACTTGCAATGAACTCACGAGAGCTGGCAGCACCGAATTCCCATTGACTTCACAGGGCCTGCTGTGAGGAATGGCTCACCAACTTGTGCGAGAGTGGCACAGTCTAGCTGTGTATATATAGAAATCACTACACCACTGATATGCAGCCGTCTCTGGGGTGGAATCCGGTGGCAACTGAGAGCAGGAAGGGGAAGCTTCAGCATACAGACTTCCAGCAAGAAGGGGAGTTTCAGGCACACCAAATGTAAAGGACAGAATTTGCCTGATGGTGCAGAGCTTCCAGCTTCCCCCCTTTGGCAAGATGCCCTGCTCTTGCAAAAAGTGAATCTTTCAATGCACTCAAGTAGTCAGGACCTGAGTTTTTGGATGATGTATATGACAGTACAAAGCCCCCTAACACCACTGACTCAGAAGAGAAAGCCTCACTTACTCAGACACCTACTCCACTTCCTTCAGCAACTTCGGCTTTCCTTGGCAGTCTCTCATCCAGGCCTGACCCTGCGTAGCAGAGCTAGATGATTATTAGGAGCAAATGTGATCTATTTATTGAACTTGTCCCATTCTTTCCACTTGTGAATTGTCCATGAACAGATCATGACTGTAATGAATTTGCTCATTATCTGAAGTTGTCGAATACTTTGTGCAAATATATTTCAGCCTGTGTGTTGAACTACTTGCCACATGTGGTCATTTGAGTATTTGATATTCACAATTTGCTCTTCAAGTCACTTTACTGGTCCAGTAAGCCACTGAGGCATTGCTGCTGACCCTTGATTGGATCATAGACAAGTTGCTTGGCTTAAAACTAGGGTGACCAGATGTTCTGTTTTTAAAGGGACAGTCCCATTTGGGGGGATTTTTTCTTATATAGGTGCCTATTACTCTCCACCCCCTGTCCCGTTTTTTCACAGTTGCTATCTGGTCACCCTACTTAAAACCATTCACTTTCCTTCCGCATTGTCTAGCTACCGTCAGCCTCATTCTAAGTGTGTATCTAGCTATGGTCTCCACCCCCATGGCATCTGAGCACCTCACTATCTTTCAATGTATTTCTCCTCAACACACCTTTGTGAGGCACGGCAAGTGTTATTATTCCCATTTTACAGACGGGGAACTGAGACACAGAGAGACTAAGTGACTCGCCCAACATCACACACAAAGTCTGTGGCAAAGTACAGAATTAAACCCAGGTCTGCCATGTCCTCGCTTAGTGTCCTAACCGCTAGACCATCCTTCCACTCAACATGGAGGATATCCAGATAAGAGTAAGTGGAATTGCAGGCAACCAGGTGCATTTGCACAAATATAAATTCCTCCCCAAACAGAAATGGCTGCACTGAACACTACAGTACTCGGAGACAGAAAGTTTATGGGTCTTAACAACATAGAGGACCTGCAAAGAGCGCCCCAGGATAAACAGAGATGGCGGCGCCTGGTTCGTCTGATGGCGTAGGAAGGTTTCACATTTAGAAATGGTTCTCGTAAAACTACACAGAAAAAGTGAACAAATGTGGCTCCACCTAGATGGGAATTGGAATTTGTGAAATATTTGCAAATAATTTCCCCCGCTCATCATCCCGTCCTACTTTTTTAAGAGACGTAAGAAGACCAGAGCTGCAGGCATTTACAATATACATTAGCCCCTTTCTGACCTGATTCATACATTATGGAAACACTCTATTTATACCCTTCATTTGCGGATATGCCAGTCCTACATGCAGATGACTGTTGTGCAAAACCGTCAGATAGATAGATAAGAGAGAGTCTGCCAGGCCTCTTGTGAGGTGCTGAGCCTCCAAAGATGGTCAAAATGTCTTTGCTTTTTTTTTTTTTTCCGACAAAAATAAGTGTTTTGGTTAACCAATGGAGTTGAGTTG